TAGTTTGTATAAATTTAACTGTCAGTTTGTACAAATTTGACTAACAGTTTATACAAATTTGATTGTTATTTTATATAAATTTGACTGTCAGTTTGTATGAATTTGACTGTCAGTTTGGTATGCAAAACCTATATATATTTTTTTTGAGTTAGAAATTTAAAGTCAAAAATGTAATCCAAGTAGGTCAAAAACAATGTTCTTGCATCTGCTCCAAGAGCACTACAAAAAATTTTTCAAACTGTGACCAAAAATCAATCATAGTTGAAGATCAGGTATAATATAGCAATAATATAACCTGATTAGAAAGCTTAATTAAATTTTTTGTTAAAACTTATTAATAACTTAAAAATCTGCATAAGAAACTATCTTTAGTACTTTAACAAAAGTTTTCTTAAGAATTTTACAATATATTATTAATGCTAAACTTTAATATAAACACTAACTCTAATATTAACAAACTTTTAAAAATTTTATTACCAAAAAATTTTTGGTGGTACTTCTGGAATAGTTAGTATATCAATATTTGTAAAAATTAGCCAATCAGATAAACTTCTGTCTATAGATGCAGAAACTTGAGGACATATACTTACATAAAAAAGATAAGCGATTACATTAAAAGTGTTATAACTGCATATGTCATAATAGCTGATATTTGTTGCAAATAAGTTTTTAGCTATAAACCTAATAATAGACATAATGCAGGATAAGATATATGTAATTTAAAAGTGATCTATATAATTTAGCTTTGATAAACACAATTAAACTTTTTGAAAAATAAACAATTTATAAAAAAAAGATAATTCAAAATTATTTTTTTCTTAAAAAAAAAATAATTCAAATTTATTTTTTTCTTAAAAAAAAAAATTCCAACAAATTGAAAGTTGTAAATAAATTACAAATATGCCTTTAATTGATAAAGTGGATTCTAGTAATTCTATGCTATCAGAATTTTGCATCAATGTTGCTTCACCATTCAAATCAGAAACTAGTTAAAATTAACCTCAAGAAATAGACAAGATGGACCCATTTTCGATAAAGTATAGAACTATGTTATTAGACATGAAAAAGTAAATCCAGTACACTATAACACAGAATGTTATCATTGTAGAAAATTCTAGCAAAGTAGTAAACCTTGAATTTTAAGATCCCATCTTGCACTTTATTGCAAAAAGGTTTCTGAAGATATTTAACAATATTGGTGCAATAAGCTTATAGATGTTGATAATGCCTATAAGAGAAATTCTCAATCATAATTAGTTTTATCATCACAAGTTAGTGCTAATTATGATGAGATTCTTTTAAAATCTTGGATAATAGCTAACATTCTATTTGAATTAATTAAAAATTCTTATATTAAGGATCTTTTTAAAAGACTTAACTCTGCATATGTGTTGCCATGTAAAGATTTTGTTATTTGAAGTATTTTGTGTATAATTTTGCTAATAAAAATACTTAAAATTTTATTAAAGAAATCTTGCCAGATTTAAATAATTTTTAAAAGTATATAAATTTAAAAATAAATGTATATTAAAAATAGAAGCTTAGTTTGCTTATAAGACTTACTAATCTATCTGAAAGATTCTGATATAAGATTGATAATAAATAAAAATAAAAATAAAAAATAAATGTAATTATTACAAATCAAAGTCCATCATTAATACATATGTTAGTCACATCATTAATAAGCAAAATTGCACCATAGGATAAAGTAAATGAGATATAATGATGCTTATTTATCTATGTTACATTTGCTAAATTAATCCTAATTATATTTGATAAACTGATAAACTAAATATAGCTAAATTAATTATAGTAATTAGTATGTAATTAAGAAAGACTTAGAAAAATAATAAAAAAGAAAAATTAAGAGAAAAATTATAGTATTGTTATATGCCATCTTACACAACTCTATCTGGACAGTTACTTGACAAGAAAATTGTACAGATACAGAATAATACTTATAATAATTTAGAGAATACAGAACATTTAATTTTAAGTATACATAATATTTATTAAAAAAATTTTTTTTATATTTATTTATTTATTTGTTTTGAATTAGCTCTTGATAGATAGACATCAAAATATAAAGAATCATTATATAATTATATTGCACCTATAAGGAACTAAAAAGAATATCTAATTTCTTTATATAATTAATTATCAGAATTACATATAGGCAATTTTATTGCTTCAGAAATTGTGAACATAATTGAACAAATTGGATTTTAAAAGTTTGCTACTATTATTACAGATTTAGCAGCAAATCTTAAATCAGCTAGAAAAAAAATTCAAGTTAAGTATCCAAACATATTAAATATAAGATATATTGCCCATACCATTAACCTGATAGTAACAAATTTGTCAAAAGTTCATCAAATAAAATGTTTATTGAGCAATGTGAAAAAATAGTAAAACATTTTACAAAGTTATCTCAAAAATTGGTATTGTTATATCAAGAATTGTCAAATATAAAGATATGTTCTGAAGGCTTAGAATTATGGTGTCAAACATGTTGAGAGTTACTTTATAATACTATAAATTCAATATTGCTAGCATAATCTGTCTTTAACTAGGTAATTATTGTTATTATTATTATTATTATTATACTCATTATTTTTATTTTTATATTTACTTATTTTTTTTTTCTTTTTATCATTATTATTTTTTATTTTTTATTTATATTAACATGTGTAATAAATTTTACTTGAACATCCATATGTAATTATGAATATGAAGTTTTTAATTTATTAGATAGTAAAGATTTTTTTATTATATGTTGACAAGTTCGATCGATATAAAAGCTAATAAAAGCCTGCATTAATGTTTTAGAAGCAGGTTCAGCAAATTTAGCTAACTGCTATATAAACATGATAAAGTTAGCTGTCACAATTTACCAAATTCCTAAATCCAACCTGTTTAAACCTTTTACCATCCAAGTATTTAATTGACATTATACAGAATTTCAGCATCCCTTATATCTTTTAAGTTACTATCTCTATTCACTTTACCATGGTATGATTATTGTTATACTGCATAATTAAATTTTTTTTAATTTTTTATTAAATTCCAGATTGAAATGCATTAGAACTAGACTAGCATTAAGCAATATTAGCCAACATAGTCTATAGCAAAATTATCAGCTAGACATTTTTATTTATGAATAGATTATAACTTTATTAGTAAAATTTTTAGTGATCTTGGATAAAATTAATCAATTTCAGCACATCTGCTCTGGATTTTGATGCTTCTGATCTGGAATTTTGAAACCTTTCTGTATGTTTTTTTATATTATATTATAATACAATATTAAATTTTTTTATTTAGATTTGAGACTTCATAATAAGGCATTTTGCAATGCTGTTATAGAAGCATTAACAATGTAGAAGGATTTAGGTCATTCTGTCCAGAAGTGTAAAAAATTAATTTCACAATTCTGCTACTATAATGTTAATAAAAAACCTTTTGATTTGCCTTATTTTCAAAAATTAATACACCTATATTGTGATAGAGATCTAGAAAAAATGTTCCTAAGTATCTTTTTGAACTTGCACAAAGATTTTTCAGTATCTCACCTTTTTAAGCTAACTGTAAGAGAAACTTTTTGACTCTTAAATAGTTCATTGAAGATAAATGAATACACCTTGGAGTTGAAAAGCTTGAAGGAATAGCCACAATTAGGTCTTGTCATATGGCAAATATATGAAATGAACTTACTTACTTTGATGTTTAGTTAACCAAATCCAAATCACATGAAATAGTAAACATTGCAACAATTGATGATAATATTATGAATAAGGAAGAACTAAATAGAAATAATGATGATAATATGAGAAAAGTTCAAATTCATTATTTCAAACTAATATACTTTTAGAAGACTTCATAAATTTGTGAAATCTCATATTTCAAGATAGAGAAATCATGCAATTTGAACTTTCTATTAATATTGCAGATTCAAATATTGAAGGTGATACTAATATGGACTTTGACTCTGAGGATCTTGTTGATATTGTTTTAAGCATTAAATTAGAAATTAAATAATTGCTATATTTAATGCAATAAATGCAGACTTTATTGTAATTTAACATTAAAACATTTCAAAGCTTTATTACTTTTACAGGAACATAATTAAGAACTTGTCTAATTAATCTGTATTATTAAATGACTTATGTTGTTTATTTTCATGCTAGTTATTAAAAACATTATCTATAGGTGTTATACAAATATGTGAATCAGTTCATGTAGTAAAGTGCATGCTAGTAATCTATTTTCAATGTGTATTCTAAATAAAAGGTTTTTTTCGAAGATTTACATGATATTAGTGCTTGGATCTGCAGATATCTGACTATCTGTTAGCTCAATCTGTTGAATTTTTATATCTGATCATAAACTATCTGATGAAATCTGAGGAATCCAATGAATCTATTGAAAATTTGTATGAAATAAATATTGTAAATATATATTTATTTATATATTTAAAATATTTAATAAATATACATTTTATTATATATTTTATATTTAACCAAAACATTAAAATATTTAATATATTGCTAATTTAAGTATATATTTTGCAATTATATGAGTCATATTTCATGCATATTACATTATATATCAAATATAAACCTATTTTTAGTCTTGAAGAAACATTGTTCCAACATAATTTATGTTTCTTTTAAGGAACAACATTCATTCAAATAAGTCTATGTTTAAACAACTACATTTTATAGTCATAAGGTTTTCTGCATCACTAAAAAGGCATTCATTGGCTGTCAAAGTAGCAGGAACATATAAATATTTGCATGCCATTTTACTTAATATTGGCAAAGTATTTTTTTGACTATTCCACCATTTTAGTGGATATTGTGTATTTGAAAGTTTTGGAAGTGCAAGATAAAGTTGAATTTCTTTATTTGTTTCAGAATATTAAACAGGTGTATACATAATGGTTAATAATACATTTTCTTCTTCTTCTTCATCATCTATCAGTGTTGCATTAAGTAACATTAACTCTGATTTTTAAAATCTTTATATTCTTCCATTAAATAGGTTTTAGTTTCAAATCTTTGATCATCTGTAGTGAACTCCATTTTTTTATTAAGAGAATCAAGAATTGTTGCTAAAAGAGATTCATAAGTTGGATAATTCCAGTAGTAATTTAAGGCATTAAGCAATGCTGACTTAATGTGATCTACCATCCCTTCATAGTTTTGTGGAATTTTAATTTTAACTCGGCTTATTTTTTTTTCTATTTCAATATCTAATATTTCTGGCTCATCAATAAATTTGATATTTTCTTGTAAATCTAAATTATCATTAAACACAGTATTTGAATCATCAAGATCTACTGTAATTTGAATGTTATTATCAATATTAAGCAATTTTTTTAATAAAGATATAGCTGTAAACATAAATAATATTGTAGTGTATTTGCTTCCACCAAGCATTTTTGTAGCATTTGCAAAAGACTGCAAAATTTTAACTAAATCATCCATTAACTGCCATTCATTTGATGTTAACATTATTCGTTTGAGACATCATGCATTTTTTTTGATTAGAGGATCATTGTTATGATTTAATGTTACTTGCATTATTTCAATAGTAGGTTTTAATTTAAGAATTTGAACCCATGCCAAGTATGTAGAGTTCCACCTTGTTAAGACATCAATGATTGCTTGTAAATACTCATGATTTTTATTAATATTACTACATACTATTTGATCTAATAATGCTTGTTTGGATTCAAGTTGTTCACTTTGTTTGGATGACATAAAAAATTGTATAAGTCACCTTGCCTGTACAACCAATGTCTTAACTGGCAAAAGACCTTTATCCACTACAAGTTGTAAAGTGTGTGCACTACATGCAAGTTGATTAACTCCTTCAATTTCATTAATTGTCTTTATCATATTTTTGACATTGTCCATGGTTATCATAAAACATTTTTCATTGATACCCCAATTTTGAAAAATTGATTTTAAAGAATAGCAATTGTAGAATCAGAATGCAGATGTTTTAATTCATGAATCGTTAGACTAATTTCTTGTATTTTAAATTGTGGATCAATATATGAACATGTGACTCCAATGAATTCTGAATTACAGCGTGCTGTCCACAAATTTGTCATCAATCCACAATACTTCATTGATTCCTTTAACTTACTATGAACAACTTCTGACATCCAATCATAAGCCAAATAAATTTTATTTTTTATTCCTTTATTACTAGGCAATTTGTAGGATGGACTAAGTACTAGTGAATATTTTATAAATCCTGGATTTTCTAGCATATAAAATGGCTGAGAATCAGTAACTATGAATTCAACCAAAGCTTTATCTACTTGTTCTTTATAAATGCCATTATCTTTTATTTAATGAGATTTTTCATTGTTTGCTAATTAAGAAACATATGATTCATGTCTTTCAAATTTTGTAATTCCATGCTTATTCTGAAGATGATCACTGAAATTTCCCATACCACCATCAGTTTCAACCACATGATTACATAGACTTCCATCTTTTTTTAGTTCTTTGCACCGTCCTTTAGACCCTTGATTAGTGGGTAAATCTTTAAAATGATCCCATATCCAACTCCGTTTTCTTGATCTTCCTCTCAACTTTGAATTATTTTCTAGCATAGTTGTTGTGGATGTAATATCCTTTAGAGGAACCTTATTAGGGTTTTCAATAGATGGAATATGTTCGTTATTGTTTTCCATTTTATAGGATTAATTAATGCTTATACACCAAATCTACTGGAGTTCGCTATTGGATTTTTTTTTTCTGTTAATTTATCAATCATATATGATGCTTCATAAAGTA